TGCATGCTTATCTAATTAAGCAAAGCCAGAGGAGCCTTGATTCTCACCTGACAATGCCTTTGTAAACATCATGTATTATGTGGTTTATAATGGGCTGTGGTGCAGAAACAGTGAGGCTTACATTGTCCTGGTATCTGTCAGTGGTCATACTGGATGCACTAGATGTGATAGTGTTTGAGAATTTCTTCATTTACTTTGGTATGTTAGTCCAGATGAGCCAACCCTCCCAAGATATAAATAATAAATAAAAAATATATAAATAATAAATATAAAAAATAATGTATTATAGGAGTATGAGACATCATGTAGCACTTCATTTCTTCATGCGGCTGTTGTTTATTAATGAAAAAGTAACAATGATATTCAAAAAAACATGTGGTTTTATATAATTTCTTAATATCTAAAAGAAACCTCATTTCTTGACTGGAAATCTCTTTTATCTCATAGATAACATCTTTGTCCTGTCTCAGGCACCATAGCGATACTGCTCGCTTGGGTAGGGGAGGGGGGGGGAGCAATTCGCAACCCTCCACCAATCGATTATATTCCAACAAAAATGGTCTTGTTACGTTGTCAAAGGTCCAGATGATCCAATCCAGTAAAAATATTTAGTCCAAAACACATTATTACATCAATAAATCCCCAGGGACTACTGCTGCATCGTTTCATATTTGCCGGCAGACGTGGCTCATATGTCATTATAACCGTAATAACTCCAGTCTGAATGTAAACAACCACGATATATTGTATTCAAATTAGCCGCTGAACTCTAACCTTTTGTGACACCAAATCCGACCCAATAGGAGCTCACATGTCCCTCTCACAGCCTGCAATAGCCAACGAGCGCCCGCGCTGTAAGGAAGGGCCAGCCCCTATTATTTCATGGGTAGGCCGAGCCAATTGCAAGCAATTGGGCTGAAGACTGGCACTTCATGTAGCCAATAAAATTCCCGAAAATAACGACATCCAGCTTTAAGTAGGAAGTTTATGATCTACCAGCCAAAAAAAAAATACATCTGCATCAAGCTACCGGCTAATACCATAGACAGTAAATTACTGGACGAAGCCACCCCGCTACATGGATCCCTCCATGCAGGCTTTGGTCGGCTTCACTGTCCGATCCCTGGCTTACGATGGGATGAAGCAGCATCCGCTTGCCGCCAAGGGCCGGTCCTCATTTAGAAAAAATACGCTAAGACATACACTTAGAAAAACCTGTGTAAAATAGCCATTTTTCATGGTATTGGTAGGAAATTTAAACTTGGACTAGGTAAGGCTTTATGCCGTGGCCCTACAGTGTTTTCCAGCTAATACTAAGTCCCAGCTATAGTTGTGTGCATGCATTTGTTAGCAAGCATTTTCAAACGCAGATGAAAAATATATTAGTTTTAGTGTGTTTAAACTTATATTAATCAATTCCAGTAGCACTTACAATCACTCCTGACTGTTGTCTTTCAGAGAAGCCCAAAACCATGCATATACTCCAAATGGTTCAAGAACTACATTCAATTTACTTTGGATATACCTTGAATAGGCGTTTTGCATGAATTTGACAGGAATGTTAAGAGGTTAATCTCTATATTTCTCCATCATCATGGATCATGCGAAGAGTGAGACTTCATCCAGCCAGAGGGAACGATCACCTGACCGTCCACAGCGGGCCAGTGGCTCCGCGATCTCGTGTCCCTGGTCCGCCCCACTCCTTCTCCGGTACAGGGTGTGTCGCTAGTATGACACTCTGTGAATGGTTTGTGATCGTTCCCTCTGGTTGGATGATCCATGATCCATGCACTACTGCAGATGGGGGGCTCTCTGCAGCGCCACGCAACTTTCTAAATTCTTCCCTCTCACGGAGAAAAGAAAGGTCAGGTCGCAGAGATTGTGTGAAGCATAATTGTAGCACAATGGCTACATATGATAATAAAAATTATTATTATAATAAGACAAAGATGCCTAATATTTTCACAGTCAGCCCCAGGCCTACATGCTTGTAGCTATTAATGATTCAGCAGTAAGATGTAGTCTGTCCAGTCCTGCACCCAGTCAGAAGGTTTCTGCACGGACCGAAGTCATTCTACTCCTCTCCAAAACATGAACTTGATGAGAAAAAGCTGTTTTAATGGTGAAGCAAAGCCAATAGTTTTTCAGTGTATTCCAATCAAATCTGATGTTCATTTATACATTTTGCACATAGATAGTGTAGTGGTTACAAATAATGATACCTGTGCATCGCTGTGTAAGGCGTACAGGCCTACAGCCTATGTCAGCTGGTTAATTTGCCTAATCTTCGAAGTTCTGTAGACCACAGTGGAAATGCACACAACAATGGGCTGAAGGAACCTTATAGTTCCTTGAAAAGAGATCTGTTGAGTCCTGGTACTGGATAGCCTTGGGATCTAAGCAGGAGCAGTCTTTTTGTGTTTGTGCATAACAGCATTGATTTTTATAAATGACAACTACATATAATATACAATATCAGATTGACAAAATCATCAATATTCCCTTGACATAGCCTAAACAGGTACAGAAGGCTAGTGTCAAGATGACTGAAGCAGTTCTTTACTTCAGTCAGTGAAAGAAAGAAAATTGGCAAAAACTGAGCCTTGTGCTGCAAAACCTTTCCCTTCAATCAATGATACATAGCACAACCTCTTGCATTTATTGATACAGCTGTTTCTTGGTCCTCAAAAGAATAGTAAAACACCATCACATAATGCTAAACAACAGAACAAGTTCAAGAAAACACAAAACCAAATAGATATAGGATTGTACAGGTGTGAGGAGAGATAGAAAGATGGTGATTCTGGAGAATATAGAAATAATGGTTACCAATAACTCCTGACTCCTGAGAACAGAATCTATCACTTCTCAAGGTGGTGTGAATAAGATGATTATAATAAGATGACTTCAGGACCTTAAGGGCCCACAGTCCTCATTAAATCATGTCCGATCTGTGATGGATTACAGTGAAAATCTGAAACTTTGTCCTTGGAGGTAAGAATCGCTGGCAGAAAGCCTGTGTGGAAATTAATGAAGAGGAAAATCAGATTTATGGATTGTTTCCAGCTTCATGCTGTTAGTCTCACAGCAAAGACTGTGTCACTAATGTTTTTGTACTATTTGTTGTTAATCTTTCATTTCTCACTTGACGTTCTTTATTGTTTAACAAAGATAAAACAATAGTTCTGTTCTCAAGAGGGTCATAAAAACACACACATTATAGCCTACACTTGACACACAGACATTTTGAACTTAGCCTTTTACTGCTTCACAGAAGGATAACAGCTATGGAAAGAACTCCCCCTGGTGGATCATTATTAGTTATTTATATGTAAAGTCAAGTGCAACCACAAAACAGTCGGATTCCATAGATTTCTAAAATGTAGGGAGACTTGAAAGAGACACATTAAAGAACCGATGGTCAAATAAGCATGGAGCCAAGTGATTTTCAGTCTCTAGTATGGACCAAGCTCAAAAAATGCTAGATCCTATTTTCCATAATGCAACGTTAGCATGCAAGTGTTTAGTCTTCAAGTCCTGGCCAAGATACATTATCAGGGTTATTTTTAAGGCTTTTAAAGTTAGGGAATGGTTTGAATGTACTGGTGCATTTCATGTATAAAAGTTTTAAATAAAGGTTTTATAAAAATACATTATAGTGGATGTGGAACTGTTTTTGTTCTGAACTGCAGACATTATGAAGACCAAACAGTCTTTCCAAAAATGAGAGATGGAAACAAGAAGGGTTGTTTCAAAGGAAGAGATATCAATGTCGTTTTGTTATGTTTTGGCAAATAATGTTATGTTGCATAGCATTAATGGAGAAGTTTGAAACAGACATTTTTAGAGTTTGTTATCAATTTCCTTTGAGCTATGATAGTTAATGTCCTTGGTGATTTTAATATCATTAATACATCATATACTGTATATTTCCTTTTAAATAAATACATTGAAATAGAAAATATTCTAATTAATGTTTTATTGCTGTACTTTTACCTTGTATTTACATTTCTTTTGTATTTTTACCCTGTAAAGCACATCAGTCAACCTTGGTTGCAATACACATAAAATTGATGTTGAAATGAATTAAAGATATTAATAACTAAAATCCCAGAAAATGGAATTTTGACAGTGCTGCTCTGAAAGAAGGATCCTTCTGTTGGACTAGATAAAAAACACATTTTCCTTCTACATTGTCCTACAACTGTTTTTACAGGCTGAGTAGTAATCTCCACCTGTAATCCGTATTCAGTTTCAGGATCAATTCTTTGTAGTAACTCGTATGAAACCTCCTTAACTGTGTTTATCACAAATGCTTTATTGTATGTCAGTGAAGTAAGTTGATATTTGATAACGGAGAAACAGCACTTTGTTTCAAATTAGGCATATATCTCTATAATTTCTTAAAAGTAGCCTAAAAACCAAACACCTTTAGACACTCACACACAACATTTTTTATTACAACAATGTAGCCTACTTTTGGTTGAACTAGTATTTGGAATTTATGTAGGCATAATAGATGTCCATTCTTATTTAATTATTTAATAACTGGGCAACTGTTTATCCAGTATTCAACAATGTCTGGTTTTGTTGTTCCACATAATTTATTTGTAGGGGTGAAAAACTGTGTTAGCACACAGGCAACCAAGCCAATGCTGATAATAACCAATGTAAATGTAAATGTAAAAGTTTAATAGGCATGTAACCAACAGAGAAGTCTTGACTCAAAGTCCTTCTCTGCTCATACAAAACTACAAGAGTGACATCTAGCGTCCACTACGCACAGGTGAAACGCAGCCATCTAGGACGCATTCGGTTACAATCCTGTGTCTCCACAGACTTAGCTGCAAACGGTTTTATTCTACATGAAGTGCATTGTGAATCATAACCCATGTTGTTGTTACTGCCTATGGTAACAGATGTAGACTTTAAAAAAAATGTTTATGCCACCGCTGCGAAATCGTTTCTCCAAGGTGGAGAAGAAGTTTTACCGAACGCAGCCCTCCAGTCGTCAGGTCACATGCTTGTCAAGCTGGATCAGCTGACATCAGCCAGCTTCTCCTTTCTGATGCTCCTTCTCGTCCATCGACGGATAGCGCGTCTTTAAGCGGCATTATTTCGTTATCGTAGCGTCAAATTATATATTTGAGCCAAGGAGATCTCGGTGATCCAGCAGGTTAGGCCGCCGGGTAGATGCTGCTAGAGTGGATGATGAACGGACACGCTATTCTTTATACGGGGGTCACTTTGGCCTTCTGGACTACCATACTCATCGTCGGTAAGATTATATTTCCCCTGACAATTACTCAGAATGTTGCATTTAATTAATGAAATGATTTATTTCCTTGACTTGTGCAACAAGGATAGTGTAGCCACTCGTTATTTCTTCATGGAAAAATGCATTTCTTGTGTTTGACAGCTGTATTTGGGGACCTGGCTAAATCATGGGACTAGAGTGGTTGCGGCTGTTTCCATTATATTTGCTAGCTACTACACGTAGGTTAATGTGCAAACTGGAAAAAAGGTTATTCATGCATGGTGGTAATTAATACCATACAGACGCCAAAACACAACGTATTACTGAGTATTGTCTAAATTTTATGTATTTCCATTTAACATAAGAGACCCGATTTTGCATCCAAGTTAGCTAATGTTAGCAGTTCGCTAGCATTTAACGCTACTGAACGTTAAGCTAATGTCCGGGTTGCTCGTAGCTAAATCACACAAGTTCAAACGCTGGATAACAGTGTTTTCGGTTTATGTTGACTGGTTGCAGCTTTTGTTTGGTGGGGGCTAACGATTGGATCACGGGTGGCTCTTCTTGCAAGGGTTTAAGGCGTTTAATTTGGCTAAGCTAACGTTAGCTGTTCGTGTGCACAGCTGACTGATTAGAAACAGTCCCGAACAGGAACTGCAGGAGCTTTCACGTGAGAGTGAGGCTATCACACTAAAGTTAGAACTTCTTTCAATCACTTTGGCACACACATGTGACAATGTTTCACACACGGTTCAGGGAAAAAGTGGATTAATACAGTAACATGCTGTAAATGTCTGTATTCCTTCACGTACAAAAAGTTTACTTGTAACTATGCATCTGGCTGACATTTTTCCACTTGCACGTCTAATTTAATAATTTCTTTGTAACGCAGGTACCTGCTATACCATATTTGACCTTGGATTCCGCTTTGATGTGGCATGGTAAGCAATCTTGGCATAAAGCCAGTGAATGCATGCTAATAACCATGGACCTCCAAGGCTCCTAGTAATGTTTCTTATTCTCTCACCTGTCAGAACTTGACAGGGAACAATTTCTATTGATATTTTAGGTTGGTTTGAAATAGAGCTACAAGGTTAGTCCATAAAGTGATAAGTTAAATGGCAAGTAGTTTGTTGATTGATTATTTGTCATTTTTCAAGCTTTCTTAAAAATAATTTGTTGTAGCACTACCTTGAAGTCAGTCTACTTTTTCAGTTAAATGATTTGAGCCTTCCTGACATTGTTCCATCGCAGAAAAGTAGATGTTGAAATTTGGGGCTGTTTAAAAGTAGAACTAAACACACTAATACTGAAGGAACAAAACTAATTGACATTTCCTAGATTGCGCAATTTTGAGAATACTTCACTACTACTGTCTTAGAGCAATTACTAGTTTCAGGCTGTTCCGTATAGTACAGTGTAATTGTATTAGTATTTACTTTGATCGTTCTGTAATAGATTCAGGGCCTGCTAGTCATTTTGACTCCAAAATATGTGAAAATACTGAAATTAACTAAACTAATCTGCATAAGCTGTAAAAGAATAATGTAGTAGTCACACTCTTGTTGGCCCTGGTTTCCAGTACAGGAAGCATATTAGTGGCCATTTATGGCAATGGCAACATTGTTGTGATTATGTGTATTGTTTTGTTTCACCTGAAGTCATTTTAGGCAAAGATATGGTTCATTGGGACTAACTTAGTAGGCCTGTTGAATATGTTGCACAGTACATTCTATCTTGGACTGTGATTTATAACATTTTTAAGTGAACTGTAAGTTGGCCGTGAGAGCTGAAAACAAAATGGAAGCAAGTGAAGAAATCCTCTTTACCACTCTGACAACACACACTGAAATTAAAACAAATGAGACATGAATGTTTTGCTGCTTGTACATATTTTTCCTTATAAAACGTAGTCTTCATCAGCTGTGATCTTTGATTGCAGGTTCCTGACAGAGACTTCTCCTTTCATGTGGGCCAGTCTGGGCATTGGCTTGGCCATCTCTCTGTCTGTGGTGGGAGCAGCGTGGTGAGTACCTAATGACAAGGAACGCAGTTTGAAAAGAAAAGTTTAAAACCACCATTAAACATCTGGTTTCTTGAATTTTCAAAATCTTCTAAAATCAGTCGTTAAACTTGAGAAAAGAAATAATGATTTGATATTTATCGTGATAATTGTCAATATCGAATGATATGAAATGTTTTTATTGTGATAACATTTTTGGCCATTTCGCCCAGCCCTAGTTGTGGACAAAACAACGTTTGGGGATGATATTGATCGACACTGAACACTGATCAACATGCACCATTTTCTGACATTTCAGAGACCGAACAGCTAATCCATTAATTTTGATGAGCTTTATTTTTACGTTTGCTGAGGGCATGCAAACTGCTGAGACTTTTTTTACACCAAACAACAGAAGCAAAAGAGGCTTGACGTCGGTGTCTTGGGTGACGTAAAACATATGTGTTGGGCAGCGACATTACTTATAATAATAATCTTGAAGGATAAGGAGCTTCTGGACCTCATTGTCTCCTCAATTGGCAGACATTTTCGGTTACTGTAGGTTAGCTGCTAACTACTTCTTGATTGAGTTAACAGCTAAGCTGCTTGCTGGTCTTTAAATCCCCTGGTTGTGGGTTGCACACATAACATGTCATCAGAAGGTCACATCAATGTCCCATACAGCGAGATGGAATAACAGCAACAACATTCCCGCCTTGGCTATACGAAAGGGGCAAGTGATTCATCAGCATGAACACCCAGTCAGAGAGCGTTGTCTAACTGACTTCCTTTTGATGCACATTCAACAAGCAGAATTGGCTGAACAGTGGCAGATAAGGGCCAATTAGAGCCAATGGAGCGGAACACGCAGCAAAACTACAGGCGACTGTCAGCCATTCGTGGCTCACAACGCCTTCCAGCCGGTGTTCGTCTGTTGTATCTGTATAGTGGCTAAATGTCATATAGCTACATTTAAACATGACTTTAATGCATCTCTAATCTACATGTTGAGACATTTAAATTAGTTTTAAGTACCTTGTTTCAAGTGTTCCCCATCCACAAGTATCCTAAAAATGCATTTTTGGTTTTGTGTGAGCTGCCTGCTTGTTTTGCATTTTGTTATATCCATTTAGTAGTTTTTGCTGTACCCCTATAATAGATCACATAGTGGTGATCAGATTGTAAAAAGGGGCTTTTGCAGGGTGTTTTGATTTTGTGCAAAAAAACAAACCTTCAGTTATCAGATGCTGATGAGTTCCAAAATCTGCTAGAAACATTGACATTTTCTATCAGATAATTATGATACTTAGATGATTAAATAGGCATATCAAACAGTTGTTAGTTACATCCCAAAATAAGTAGGTTGTCACACAAAAATGAACTGCAATCTTGTCATGAGTGTTTTCATAATAGTTGCGGGAGAATAAAATGTAAATAAGTAGTTTTTGGCTATGCTTCTTGTTAATCCTTTCTCATCACCTGGTAGTTTTCAAGTTATAGATGATGTTGGACCGATTGTTTTTTGTTTTCCAGGGGGATCTACATCACTGGCTCAAGTATCATTGGTGGTGGTGTCAAGGCACCACGAATCAAAACCAAGAATTTAGTCAGGTAGGGTCATTCAAGATCAAACGTTCAGTTCCATTATGTCAAATTCTCTTATTTGATATTTCTATATTTTATTTTATTTATAGTATATATAAATTTGCCTTTTTATTATACTTGTTTCTACCTATTTGTCCTCTGTGATTTATGTGAAGTAGCTGCTGTACCACTGCAATTTCCCTTTGTGTTTACTTAAGTACCTTCCTTCTTGAAACCTATAGGTGTAGTATTATCCAGTTGAACGTACTTGAATATTGCTGCTTTACGAAGAAGTTTGTAATTATATTCTGTTTGGAGAAATATTGGAGCCATTTAATATCAGAAAGCCACATCAAAACCTCTGTGAATACTCAAAGCTGCAGCTATTATTATTAGACTACAAACTTTCATTTCTTTGTACGACCTTGTGTTGTATGATATACTAGTAGTATGCATCTACACAATCTGTTCACTGCATCCCAAATAAATACTCTAAAATCACTCACTAAAACTAGATAAATGCGGAGTCCTGCTCTCATTGGCTTTCCCAAACCTTCATAGCCGGTGAAGTGGCTGTTTCACCAAGCCTTCATGACCACAGTTAGTAACTGTTACTGCACAGCAGCATTTTGTGTAGTGAGAGAACAAGCTGCCAATTTGAAACCCAATCAGTTCTCTTACTTTGTTTCTGTTTTTATGTCTCTCTAGCATCATCTTCTGTGAAGCTGTAGCCATCTATGGGATCATCATGGCCATTGTAATCAGCAACATGGCTGAGGTAAGCAATAAGCGTTTCTGTTGTTCATGATACATTTTGTCTTTAGAGGGGATTTCAGACAGGAGCACTGTGCAGGGAACAGTGCGGCCATAATTTAAGAAATAATCTCTTTCATCTTATAGAACTTCAGTGGAACAACCCCTGAGACCATTGGGGCAAGGAACTACCAAGCTGGTAAGAAAACATAAAGCAATGAATAAAAATCTACTCCAAAAACATGAACAATTTTAACATAAAGCAACACCTGGAATTGACGGACAAATTACAGTATTCAATGCAAATCTTTCTCTTTTTTTTTTTTACACACATATTTTTAATGTAGACAATTAGGCTTCCAGCTTGGGAAAGGTTGTGTTATAATATGACAGTCTGGTATATATGTTATACTAACACTTGTGGTTGCAAACCATAAGTTGGAAAATCTAAAGATACTTGCAGCATTCAGTCTAAATAAGTGTCAAATATGGATTGCTCAATGCATTTACAAAATCTAATGAATTTCAACAGATCTATTAACATGTATGGATCCCAAAATGAATTCACTCTAAAAATGATAGACACGAAGAGCTGGTAGTGCTCCAATTCAAAGTGATGTGCATTTTAAGATGCTTCAAAATCAACTCTTCTCATGTCCAAATCTGACGGAGAATTATATATTTTTTTTATTAGTCATGGAGGTCTCTGACTCATTTGATTTCCATCCTACTAGGTTACTCCATGTTTGGAGCTGGTCTGACTGTGGGCTTTTCCAACCTCTTCTGTGGCATCTGTGTCGGCATTGTGGGCAGCGGAGCAGCGCTGGCAGATGCCCAGAACGCCAGCCTCTTCGTGAAGATCCTCATTGTGGAAATCTTTGGCAGTGCTATTGGCCTGTTTGGTGTCATTGTAGCCATTCTGCAGGTGAATGAGACAGACTGCTTTTTTTGTCTGTCTTCACATAAAGAGTCTCAGAAATGTCATTGCAAAGAGAGGAATTATTTCGACAAAGGTCTAGATGCAGCTGCGTTGTCGATGTATTGTATGTTTGTATATTTGAAAATATGTAATCACTGGTTTCACTGTTTTCTCCCTCAGACATCGAAAGTAAAGATGGGCGACTAGAAGACGCATTCGCACGCTGAGAAGATAAAAAGACACACTGCTGGAAAATGAGATGGATTATTGTGTACATACATCGTAAATTATTTAAATGTCTCTATTTGCCTGGTATTGTTTTTAACCATTATTCATGCAAGAGTGGTACTTGTCTCGAGAGAAACATGAATGTTGAATAAGACGACTGGGGGGGGGGGGATCACCAGATGCCAGTGTTTCGTGTGCATTTCTTGCCCCTGAAATAAATGAGTGAACCCTGTATCTTTCCAGCAGTTCAGCTTGATGGCTAGTACAAGCAGAGCTTACATGTTTTAAAGGATTTTAGATGTTTCCTAACACCAGCCAGCATGTAGTCTTGAGAGCTGTGAAGCCTGGATCACTTCCAGCTGAATTGCAGCTCATACAAGTTGGGGTGTGTGTGTGTGTGATGGTGTTTTTTTTTTCCCTCTCTGACCACTCTTTGATGAATGATGAGTTAAAAATTACACTGGAGTATTTGAAAATATTTGTGTGCGTGTGTGTATGCTGGACATGTGATCGATATATATATTTTTTTCTTTCTTTGAAGCATGAGGGTGTTTACTATTGTTTATTACTGTAGCCTGGTCTGTCAGTTCTTTTGTTTTTAACTGTTATTTGCTAATAAGCAAGTGGTCCTTAATCCATGCTGTTTCCCAAATACAGTATTTGTTAGGCCTCCTGCTGTAGTGACAGATAATCTACAAAATTTTGAATTAAAGTACTGATCTGGAATCATTAGTAAGGTGGACAGTTGGATATACTCTTTGGGAGGCCAAATAGAGTCAGGTCACTGCAGCAGATCTGCTCTAAATTGTCAGTCATAACCTTACTTCCCAAAAATGTTATGTTATGTTACGAATTCTGTTTTTCAAACCCATGAGCCTGCTGAACATGGCTGACAGCCATAACTTGTTTTTCCCTTTAGTATCGTCTACTTTTTGAGTTTTAACCAGTGGTTGGTTGGATTGGACATGAAAGTGGATTGTTCTGTGTTGACTATAAGGAAGCCAAAAGATTGAGGATGGCCACATTACCCTTGTCCAACACGGGACCTTAACATGAAGATGAAAACTTAACGTGTCAGGTTTCCTGTTAACAAAGACAAAATTGCTAACCCCTTTTGTCAAGTCACTATTGAACATTATATTACCTTAGACAGGAGGGAGGAATATATTTTAAAGAGCGCCTCAGTTACTAGTATTAGCTTTAGAGTAGTAACTGTTAATATTTGCTGTATCATTACTGTCATTGTAGTAGAGGTTTTACGTGAAAATCATTTTAGAAAGACTGGTCGTCTGGCTCCCAAAATTCTGGGTAAAAACTATGGACTTCATTACAGAACCAACACATTGATGGATACAGTTTTAAAAAAAAAATCCTTATTGTACACACACAAACACAATAATATACTTTTTTATTTTTTATTAAGCTCTTTTTTTTTCGAATGTACATCTTAACATGTTAGGTGTTCAAGTCTGTGTTCCCAAATTATTTTTTAACATTCCTTAATGAAGTTTAATGAGTGTTTAAAGCTTAGTCCTCTAGTGTTTCAGCTATTTCCTGTTGATGCCAACTTGTAAATGGGGGGGGGTTTGGCGGAAAGAAGAGTTGATGTGGGCACCCAGTGGAAAATGCTTGTATGGAAACACTTTTGGTAGCACCTTTTGTTCTTGATGTGTCATTCCACAAGTTCAGACGACAGACCGTGGCTAATTGTGAATCGTCTCAGCTCCTTCCTGTAATTTTCCACCCCAACCCTCTTGTGGAGTTATGAATGAGTGTAAACATTGAATCTTGACTTGGGGAAACTCCATTGTCTTTAATATATCCAGACCTGGCCTCCCAAAAGGTGTCTTAAACTGCAAGATCGTCTTTGCCAATTACGATGGTTTTATAATGAAGCCACGCTGTAACTCAAAGATTCCTTTGGTACACCAGGCTCTGCACCAAACCCTAGGCATTCAGTAAGTGTAGTTGGTACCGTGTGTGCATTATGTTGACGTGATGGTGATCGGACAATAACTCATTGTTTTTGAAATTGTGTATAATAACAAAAACAGACCGTCCTTCTGGCTTCATAAATGTCCTTGAGAAAATAAAAATGGTCCAATCAAGATGTTTGGATTTGTTTCTGACTCATATCGATGTTCATGTTGTGGAGTTTTCAGTCCTATAACTATACGAAGTGCCCAAGCATAAAAAATTCTGCTGTTTGAATTGGGAGCTGTGTGTGACCCAGGACCCTGACATTTGTCTTGCGTCCTGCAGTGTTTAATTGCTTCCACTAGATGGCGCAGAAAACCACAACATCTGTCCTACTGATTAAAACTAGCTCTGTGCTCACTGGAAAGCTCAGTTGAGGAAACAGTTAAGCTCCCATCTCCTGTTATCATTCAACATAATATTCATATGTTGACTGGTGTAGCTGTCAACCTCGTGTGAAACTGAATAAAACAGCATAGCGTCAGTGCAGAATTATTAAAAATCCTCTTTGTATCTGAAAGTGGTCATTATTTTTCTCCTATATTGTCCTTTTGCATTCGACTGCAGAAGATCTCCTCATATCCACAAATGAAAATCATATTTGTGAATATCAGTGTGATGCCAGGTGGTTTAGAACCATTTGTTTATGCCAAGTGAACTAATAGTTTATACAGATTTTAAAGTGACCATGCAAAACAGAACATTAATCTAAAATAAATAACCTAAAAATCTAAAACACAAATTCAATTCAACAAAAACCCTAGTTTGTTGACTAACTATGAAGGGGCAGCAAACCTTTATAATATGGTCATCAATCCTGTAAATCCATCTGCATTTAAATACAAACCAAAGTACACTTAGCATGTGTTATGTCTGTGTATTAATTTTTTAAAACTAATACCAAACCATATTTTATGAATGTTATTTTGATGCCAGATGTTGTAGTGGATTTTACATTAACAGCAAATGACTAATGGCTTACTCCCAAACCTTGCAAAACAATCTGCTTAATCTAAAATCTAATTGAGTATGATAAACAAAAAGACAAGAAGTGTCTTGAACCAATGAACCAAGACCATGTGACCAATTAGTCAACTAACTGAGTAAAAAGGAGCAAGTAGAAAATGTCACAGTCTATAACATATGGCTGCTTTACCTTATAAGAAAGGATAAAATCGCCTAATCTAATTTTATACATTTTTATCTGAGATTAAAATGTATTCGGTTGGGTTATCCTGTTTATGTCAGCTATATATAGACAAATGCATCTTGCCTCTTGAAGCACTTTGTAACATTTGTGTATATGAATAAACATGACTGTTATTTAGACAATATTTAATAGAGACCAAAACAAATTTGTGATACCAGAAAAAAAAATAGAGCCAAAGTGTCTAATAGAGCCAAAGTGTCTAAGTGGACAGACACCATAATGATGAGTCCAATAACTGAGTAAGAGGGAGCAACCATACAAACCTTTAAAATGTTTTTAAAAAGTAAAAAATGGTGGAGATAGCATGTGTTCTGCTTATTTAGCCATTTTTTAATTTTCTTACTGCCTTGTGATACACTTTATAAGATCTATTAGGAAGTGCGATATAAATTAAATGTATTATTATGTATTTAAAAGTGATATTATTTCCTCTATTATGTGTTCGTGTGTTCTGAGAGGAAGTAACGGTAGATAATGGAATTACCATTCCCCTTCTTGTACCAGATGAGTTGAATAAAAAAAGAGAGCGAGTTTCTGGATCATCCGGGACTCCGTAGGCAGCAGGAGGAGCGAAGGGACCTGCTCGCTGCCAGCCTGAGAGCATCCTTTTCTTTGCTTTCTTATCATCCTCACCAAAACACAGCGGGATGACGGAAAACCATGAGGATATCATCTCTCTACTCACCGGTCTGCGGTAGAATATCGTTACGGGTTACGTTAGCCGCTTGGCTAGCGTAATGCTACACAACATGAGGCTGTTCTCCTGATGAAGAGCACACAAAAAAACCTGTCTGTGGAAACGGAAAGAATATAGTTATTCCTAGCAGGGCGAGCTGGGCTGACCCTCTCGCTTTTAGTGGGGGTTTTTGTTTGTTTTTTGCACATTTGCAACAATTTTTCATCAAAAATCAATCAAAAAAGCTCATTGACAGTTTTTTTATGTGACTCTTTTTCCTCGGCTGATGTGGATGAAGGCAGTGGTGCTCCAGTGAAGATGATGCTCAGATAGAAGTGCTCGCCTGACAACATCAAGGTAGGTGCTGTATCTTCCTCTTGGGACGCATTGTTTCATTCAGCATCGCATGCACGCTTTCCTTTGTTTCCACCCAGCCTCCATACGTTTATCCTGCCATCCTGCAACCTTCTGCTTATATTTAAGCAGTGGATGCTTTGGGAGTATGAGCGCATGCACTGCCCCCTACCCCTCTTTTGTTATCACGCACATTTCCTCAAACTAGCAGCATCTTTACACCCGCCATACTAGGCTTCACTCAGCCTCCCTGCACTGTTCCTCTACAGAAAATGAACCATCCCAGGCCATACAGACTGCTGAGGGGAATTTTCTGCAATGCATTTTGGGTTCAATTTGGAGCTTTTAAAGCTCTTAAAATTCACTTTTTACTACGGCTCTCTGAAATTGCTGGCACTGTTCCCACCCCCAATTTTAATAAAAGGATGCAAAGTCTATGGGCTCCAGCATCTCTCGTCTCATGGTCTGTTCACAGCACACTAAGGGCAAAGAGCACCAGTGTGCACAGCCAGCGTTACACTGGGGAAATGAGAGAGGAAGAAGAAAAGGAAGAAGAAGTGGAGGAGACTCCTTCATCAGGATGTTTAACCAAACCAGGCGTTTACACAGAAGCTCTTTACATAGATTTAATCCAATCTGACATCTCTCTCATTTTGTGACACGAGTATCTTTTTAGGGCTATAGCGTCTATAGGAACAAGTGGACTGGAACTACCACGCTTTGTGCTCTAAGTTGTCCTGTGCAGAGTGGCCTTTGGTGTAGTGACTTTCATCCAGTTAAAATTTTAATTTTGATGCTGTATTCTACAAAACATGTTAAGGCCATGTGTTATATTTTGAATTTTAATTCAGTGTTAAAGGTTGAAGAGTTCCTGAACTGCTGATAAGTTTCTGGATTAATTGTTTATAAAATGTCAAAAAAATAGGGAGAAACGTCCATCATAATGTCTTCAAGTCAAAGAGGATGTTATCAGGTTGCTTGTTTTGTCTGACCAACAGTCCAAATCCTAAAGCGGTTAATTTTACTATCTCATGAAACATGAGAAAAGCAGAAAATACTCACAACATAGACACTGGAATAAGGGAGAGTTTGATATTTTTACTTGAACATTTACTAAAGCGATTAATAAATGAGTAATCATCAAAAAAACATCCTGTTACACAATAATAATTTATTCAACTCAATGAAAGAGTAAATAATTCACAGATGTTTTATGTGTCTGTATGCAGCCTGGAAGAGAGTTTCCCACTTAACAAACAAATCTCAACCCAAGGACTTCTGGAGTTTTTGACCGTATCATACTCTCCTCACTGGTACATTGTGTCTGCAGAGTTGCATGCTATGGATTGAGAGGTCTTTTTCACTGTAGACATTATGGAAAAGCAGGCGTAAATAATAACATAAATGACAGCTGAATCCCATTTAGCTGCTTCAATTTCCCTATAATGACAAGTCAAACGGTCTGCTGTGAAGCGGGCCTATTAAGTAGATTTTAAGTCAACATGGATAAGAAGTCACGCTAGAGTTGCTCAGAATCACGGTGAAAAACATATACAGTAAACTCAATCTGCTGATGAGGACTGTGGGACACAGTTGAAAGCTCCAGAACATGTTGCTAAGTGGACCTCGAGTGAGCATTGTTTTGTCAAGTGTTGTTTTTAAGGGCCAGAAAGAACTGTCTGTCAAGCTTAAGTCTCACATTGTTTTCAGTAAACCAGTTCAGTAATGCAGAGCACATATCTTGGTCCAGTTATGTTCACTCATGTGCAGTGATATTTCAGAAACGTTTTTTTCCATCTGCTGCGAAAACCTGTGTTATCTGAGACTTGACTCCAGGCTTAGATCAGAGATCAGATAGCAGAGAGGTGGTTATGGCAGCAGGCTGTGTAATAAAAGGTGGCAGGTGTTTTGTTTTAAATTCAGGTTTTGTTGTGGTTCATTTTTATTACTGTGTGGTGTGTGTGTGTGTGTGTGGAGGATCTTCCTGTAGGTGTACAGGTATAACTGTTTTCTTTTGATTGGTTGTCACATGATCTGTCCCTTTTTTAAAAAGAGAGCTTCCTGCTGTGAAACACTCTCTGATGAAGTTAAAATGCATACACTTGAGGTGATTAATTTGCTGTTTCTGTCCTCACTGCCACCTTATTGTCCTGACTTTGTTTTTGAGGAATACACATGTGGGTGGCAGGGTGGTCTCTGCGGTTAATCAGGTTATCCTGGAACCAGAAAGTCACAGGTTCAGTCAGGGTTGCACCAGCTATTTGTTAATTCCTTACTAAGTTTGTGTGTAAAGTTCTTCCTATATACTTTATACATAGCTAGGAAACTTATGTAACAAACTGTCACATAACTGCCAAAACTAACTTTCAGAGGGTCTAGTGATGTATTAAACTTAACTGCCAATTCTTTGTAAACATAGGTGTGACTTTGTTTTATATGTGGAGAAATAAGTGTTTCAGGGTTGGTTGTACTAACGCACTATCCAATGAGTCATTTAGGCTAATGTTATTAGCATAATGTTTTGTAATTTGAGGTATATTGTGTCATTTCTGTGAAATGTAATTTAAACCTTCCTAGTTGGCACCTGTTTCAGTTCAGATAGATACTGTATATTAGCGGGCTAGTCTTAAGTTTTATAAACCTAAATCTGCTCTACTGTGCTGTTCCTTGAGCTCTGACTGAGGGTTTATATACCTTTATGATAAGAGAAATAACTCTGGACAACCTGTAAAAATGTGCTTCCAGACAAAAAGAACCTCCTCTGTGCTGTAGCCTAGCTTGGTTGACTGGAGCATGCTATATCACTGTTGAGTGTTCGGATCAGCTTTGTGAAAACTATCATCAGGCCCTCCGCACTCATTTCTGCTCTGTCCAGTCCGGCAGAGGGGAAGGTACCACTGTAGATTAACTTGCTTCCATCTTTCATGGAGCTCAGTGAAAAGCAAACAGCGTGTTTCACATTGGTGTCCTCACCTTGCCGGTCGTGACAGTCAGAGCAGCAGCGGCTGCTACAGATTCTTCTGATCGCTCTTTCGTGTTGGGATTTGTTGTCATGGGAACTGTGTGTTTGTGTGTGTGTAATGTGTGTGTGTGTCTAAGTGTCTTTTGTTGTCTACATTGGTTCACTTTTTCTTTTCTTTAGGTTCTGAAGTAAAGGTCAAACTAACAGCTTCACGTCATTACTACAGTATTCTATTATATTTAGAGATGTCCCAAACCAATCCTAGGTATCAGTGCCAATCTGGGCATATTTTAATAGATCGCTACTGGCTAAAATAAAGCTGATCCTTTCTTTACTGTACTGTGTTTGTCCACATCAGACTGCTCTCCTTCCCCTAAGCCGACTTTACTTTACACTTTACAGTGTGAACGTTTTGCTGCATATTGCGAGTAAAAATTATTAGCCTACTAATAATTAAAGACTGGCGAGTTATTCAGAGTTTAGACACTGAGGTTGACAAAATGCACAGATTCGCTAAGCTCTGAACGCTGAACTATAATGTCCCCAGTTTTGAATCCGCTTCGTACTTTTCTTGCATCTCTTTTTCTGCCTGCTTTCCTGTAATGTCTCCTTTATAGGCATCTAATAAAGGGCACAGAATGCTCCCCATCCCTACATGGGGGAACAGGGCCGTTTTAAAGAAATGGTTGGCTGGTTGCCTTGCAACCTCACCGTCTTTGGGCAAATCCAAGTTAACCTGCTGCTGGCTGTAGCTTCATATTTAACGGACAGACAGAGTGGTCTAGATCTTCTCATTTAACTTTTGGAAAGAAAGCAAATAAGCTCAAAATGTCAACTACTTCTTTAAGGTATTGGGGTTGCCTTATTGCAGACTATTGCTGACTTCTTCTTAGGCAAAGGAACAATAAGTAAAGCATAATGCAACAGCCCCTGATCAGATAACTTATCAGGTACAGGATCAAATGTTAATACCATGTGTAAAAGAGTACTTTAGACTAGCCCGCTAGTTAGTAAGAACAGATTTACCCTTATTACCCTTCTGTCTCACCGTTTAAGATCTACCTTTCTATTCAACATGACCTCAGATACTTGGATAAATGTTTTTCCTTTCTCACTTAAAAAGAATAAACACACCTTTTCAAACTCCATCAATTCACTTAATAGAGTTGCAAAAAAAACAAAAAATAGCACTGAAGGACACAGGTTGATTAAACCGTTGAAAGCATAATTGGACGGTAGTGGCCTTAAGCCTAATGTCCCACTGATGTGTTAAGCCAAAAAAACCTCACCAAATCCTCATCTCACTCCCTCTACCCACAATCCTTCTCCCAGTGAAGCCTTCCTTCCGCTGAAACACTTCATTTATTTCTTTGCTTCGTTGCCAAATGAGCAGCTGGATCAGTGCGAGAGGGAGGGAGACATAGAGAAAGAGGGCAGAGAGAGAGAGAGAGAGAGAGAGAGAGAGATGATGTTTCCTCTGTAGTCTATGGATTGTAGCAGACGGGACTTTGTTGTATTTGCATAGGGCGTGTGCAGCCTGCATGCTGAGAAATTGCAGACGCTACACTGGAGGAGAATTCCTAGAATGGCTTTCTACCCCTGACTTAACGTGATGATACTTTCCCAGTGTCGGGAGTGCCATCAAATACCTTTCCATACTGCGATGTCTCATTGATTTCATCTGTTTCTTGTCAGTTCTGTCTGGCAAAACAAATTTACCAGAAACGAGGAAGGGAGTGGGACCTTTTAAAACAAAGCATGGCATAAAGCAGAAAGAAGAGCAGAGAGGCAATGTGATATCAGACATTTAACCAGTCCAACCTCCTTCAGATCAGAGACAGCTGAGAGGCAATTTAATATCCGCATGGGCAGAGCTGAGTAGAGAAGGGTTGAGTACAGAGAACACTGGAGTTTTTTTCTGATTAGGTCTGCTTTTACTCTCTCTTCTTCTGTTCTGCCTCCCTCCACTCCGCTCCTTTCATATTTTCTCTTTTCTTTTTTGCTCTGTCGTGTTTTAGCTTGATGTCTTTGTAGCCATAGT